TCATTATCTTTAATAAACTCGTGGCCTTATTATTTTATTTTTATACATCTTTTAATTTATTATTAAAATATAAAACATATTATATTAAAAAATTAATTTAAAGGCTCAACCTTTTGCCCTAGCTTAGTGTCAATCTTGATGTATATAATGTTATCGAATCAATGCTTGAAATATTATAACTTTAAATCATTGCTTAAAAGTAATAATAATACAATAGACATCATTAAAATATGATTTTTATGAAATCCTAACTAATATATTTAACGTTTAGCTTAGACGATTGTTAATTTTTTATGAAAAGATGAGTTTGAAATACATAAATAATTATGTGAACATTTTATAACTTTTAATAATCATATGACTTAACAAAATAACACCTTATAATCGGAAGATTATTTTATAACTTTTAATAAATTGAATTTTTTTTAACTTTTTAATAGTTAATAGATTTAAAATATAATATCTTATAGTTGGAATGAGACACGACTTACTATTATACTTTACCCAAAATTAAAATAAAAAAGTATTTTATTAAGTTAGTTCAAACTGTTCTTACTCCCATAAATATATATATTTTACAGGAAAAGCCCACCGTACTCTCAAATCCACTAAGAATTCTCACCACTTGTAACAATAATACCAATAATCTTCTCCACCTAGCCGCCGCCGGCGGATCCGCCGTTTTCTCCGGCTGTTATTGAAGAAAAAGAAGCTGTAGCAAAAGATGAGAATGGAGATAGACCAAATGCCTCCACGTGGAGCTTACCATAGGCGAGCCCATTCCGACACAACTTTCCGTTTCGACGATCTTCTCCTCTTCGACCCGTCGGACCTCGATCTTTCATGCCTTGACCTTCCCGATTCCTCCCCCAATCCCCGTCTGCCACCTGTCGCACCTGTCCCGGCTGAATCCTCTGACGACTCCTCATCCAACAGCCTTCCTCGTCCCGCCCAAAATAACCACAGGCAAATCTCTTCCCATCGCCGTAGCCTTTCCGTTGACTCTGATTTCTTCGACGGACTCGGTTTGACTGGTCCCGCGATTTCTGGAGGTGCCGGGGATGAGAAATTTGACGGGAAAAGAGGCGTGGGAGAGAAGAGGGCTCACCACAGGCATAGTAACTCGGTGGATGGTTCGAGTACGACATCGTTTGACGTTGAGTCATTTATGGCCGTTGATGGTATTAAGAAAGCTATGGCTCCTGATAGATTCGCTGAGCTTGCCCTTATCGATCCCAAAAGAGCTCAAAGGTAGAAATTATATATGATTTAAGTTGAAATTTTTTTCTTTGTCTGTTCTTCACCAAAAACAATGTTACTGTACTAATTAATTTTCTTTAATCATAAAAGGGTGGGAAAATGTTCTTTTGTGAAGGGAAATTAGCTGATGCAATAATATTGCTCAACTAAATTAAGTATTTTTGTTTTCTTCTTGGTGTTGTAGGATTCTGGCTAACAGGCAATCGGCTGCGCGTTCAAAGGAGAGGAAGATTAGATACACGAGTGAACTGGAGAAGAAGGTCCAGACTCTTCAGACAGAAGCTGTCAATCTCTCCGCACAGGTCACAATGTTAGAGGTAAATGCAGCTTTCACTTTACATCTCATTCATGTGATCCTGTGCTCATTTTTTTAATGTCAACTTTCTTGGTTCATGTTATTAATTGTTCTCTTTTGGTCATGTTATAATATAATACCTCAATACTTTAATTGCAATTTTTCGATATCCAAAGTCTAAGTATGCGCTTTGTGCTTGTATTTTATATCTTGATTATAGTAGGGTTTTTCTATTGGTTGGGATTGTATGTGCATATGATTATATGAATTAAAGGCATGCTTGCATATTCGTTTATAGGTATGTCATATCACGTACATGATCATAGATCATTGCAATAATTTCCGGAGAATTTACCCATTTCATTTGGGACTGTATTTTATTTACTAATATTTCAGAAATCTAGAAGTTTCTGTTCCTTCCTTTGTGGTGGTGGTTGGGCAGAGGCTCCTAAACCAATTTGAGTTTGAGACTGTTTTCTACGTCCATAGCAGTTCTTCGGTGGATGGATGCATAGAATTTTCATTATTGGAAAGAGGGTCACCTGTAATTAAGGCTTTTTCTGCTTTTGTCTAAGCTAAATAATGTTGGCAGTATATTTAGCCTCATTACACCCTCTTTGAGAAGTTCTTCCAAGTCTTTTGTTTTGTGAACTGTATTTTTTGACACGCCTAATTACCTTGTATAACGCCAATTATTGATCAATGTTTGATTGTTGGGAAAAAGACAACACTATGCACTTTATTTAATCATGCCTTGGAATAAAGCGGAGGCATGATTCACCATTTAGGCATAGCTTTTCAACTGTTCCATATTGATCCTTTTCGGTTCTGCTACCACATTATCAGCCATGCCCTAGCAAATAAAATAACATTCCTGTGATAGAACAGACGCGGTATGGCATCTGTTTTTTGCTAACCAAGAAAGCAGTTGTTTTGAATCTTTGAGGTTCAAATATTTGTTTACTGCTCTCACTCTGAAAGAAGGAAAATAATTCTAATATATTTCAACAATAATGCAGAGAGACACTACTGGGTTGACTAATGAGAATAAGGAATTGAAACTACGACTACAGGCTATGGAGCAACAAACACATCTTAGAGATGGTATGCATACTTCTGTCATTTACTACACATATTGCAAATATACTGATGGTGACTGGGAGTACCGTAATGAATAGACATCATTTTTATATTCATAATCAGTTATGATGGATTGGTGAAAACCATCAGACTATGTCATTTTGTAGATAAGTGATTCTATCTTGTGGATCATGTGGGTTTCGTAATTTAAATAATTAAACCATTAATCTAGAAGTGCAAAGATAAGGACATAGTTAATATGGAATGGAAAAGAGGCACTGCTAACCTGTAAATTTATAGCTGTAAAAGAGAGATAGTATTATAGCATGGAAAAAATTTGTCATATTTTGCTTGTATATGGTTTTCAGATTCCTTGCAGATATTGCCATTGCTATACAATTTTCAATGTAACCAATTCCTACTATCTCATAAAATAGGCAGGATAGCAAACAAGTTAGGCTTTGAAGGTACTTATATTTTTGGTCTTTACTTCTCTGCTGTCTGTAGCTTTGCATGAAAAATTGAGGGAAGAAGTGCAACGGCTTAGGATACAAGCTGGCCAAGTGTGCACGATGAACAGAAATCCTTTCAATAGAGGAGTGCCTCCTCAGTTTTTACCCCATCAATCTGCTCCACATCCATTTGGTGTCCTGCAGAGACTGCCGCAACAACAGCAGCAGCAGCAGGCACCTCAGTCATCCACCAGCAACCAAACTTTGAACGGACAGCCTCAACCTAGCTTTACCGATTTTAGCCAGAAGGCATAATTTCATGTTGGAAAGAAATGCTCTGTAAGCACAAGAAAATTCATTCAATGTAAGCATCTTGTAGATAGAAATATGTATAGGCATTGCGGGGTAAAGTTGTGAAGGAGTCTTGCTGGGAACAGTCCCTTTGTATCTGTTTCGCATATGGCTTTATCATCATTACAGTAGAGAAATGAACCGAGATGTGTTGTTTAGAGAGATTAGGTCCTACTTATATAGCATAAGTGATGGGTGGATGATTGTTATTGTTGTAACAAATCTTTATAATTAGAATAATAATTATTTACTGGAGTTAGTATATTAAACATGTTATGTTAATCTTATTTAACGTATATATCTTATCTAAAATTACAGATTATCTCAATTGATGAAAATGGTTCAACTGCTGCCACATGGATTAACCTTCTTGCATGTCGCAACTAATAATGATTCACAAGTTTTCTTGTATTTACAGATTTGTATCTAATCATCCATTGTATGTACAGATTTATATCTAATTATCCATTGTTGTGGATTGTTCAGTCATTAATAGAAATTAGGGTAAATTAAATAAATAGTTCTTGATGTTTGAATAAGTTTTTTTCTCTATTGTTTCAGAAGTAATGATTTAGTCATTAATATTATCGATTTATAATAAATTAATTATTCGGCGGTTGATCTAGCATGTTAAACCAACTGATCCAGTACCGTTTGACAACATGAGACAACTAGTTTGACTAGTCGTGTGACACTCCTCTTCAAACACGACTCCCGATCCCTAACAAACTTTAATTTACCCATTTTAAATTCAGATCCCCGTTTGCATTCCTCTTTAGATCAGTTGCAGAGAAAATAATATAGATGAGAATAAAAGTGCCGATGAATTCAGCGCCCAGATCATTTCCGGTGCTGTACAATGTCGAGGAGGAGCGGAGCCAACAGCCTCGTCGATGGAAAAAGAAATTTATTCAAATATCAGTGACGATTTGTGTAGTTTATCTTAAAAAACTTGATTTATTGGGTTTAAGTGAGTCTCTTTCAGAATTAGTTGATATGGTGTTGATGGATGCTTCAGAATCACAATACTTTATGCCATGTCTAACAAAAATAAAAAATAAATAAACTGGATCGTTAACTAACCATGGCTAAGAATCAGTGGGTCACAGTTCAGCATCGATGAAAAAAAAAAAGACAAAAGCTACCTGTTTATTATCCACATCATATAAACCAATAACCCTAAGCATTTCTCATCTGAAAAACAATTGTAATCTTTATACAAAGTTGACATTTGTTTTCTTCCTTCTATAATGACCTTTCCCTTTTGACCTTTTATGGCTGATCAATATCCATTCCATCAAAGAGACAAAGGCAACCAGCAACCTCTATGAAGATGCGCACCAAATAATTGACAAATCTTATGAGTAAACAATGGTTTCTTTCTCATGTTTACATTGAAATAATCATTTCCATTGGATTTGGAGCTACAAAGCTATGGCTGTCAAATCCCACCATAGATCCCAAGGCATCAGCTTGCTAAACTGTCATTTTATAAACCAGTCTCAAGTTCAATTAGGTTACTTCTTGTATTGAGCCTGAAATATAGGCTCTGGTGACCAAAAATGGAGCCCATCATGTTGTTGATCATGTTACTCCTTTTCATTTTTGTATCAACTGCTTTCTGCTTATTTCGCTTATCAACATCACCAAAAGCAATGGAGGATATCCCTGGTAGCTTGGGGTGGCCAGTAATAGGTGAAAGTTTATCATTTCTGTCAGACTTTTCGAGTCCATCTGGTATATGCAGTTTCATGCACAAGAGACAGCAGAGGTAATGAACCAAAACTTTGAGTATGTTTTTTGTAATAGTATGCGGCGATTATAAGGTACTATATGTTTAAAACTTTCTTAACCCATCGACAATGTATATACACCTTGTAGAGGTAGTTGCTCGAACCCAAAACCTCAAAATATATATTTTTTTAACAGATATGGGAAAGTGTTCAAGAGCTTTGTTTTGGGGAGATTCACAGTGTTCATGACTGGCAGAGAAGCAAGCAAGATCTTGTTGACAGGCAAAGATGGGATGGTGAGCTTAAACCTTTTCTACACAGGCCAGCAAGTGTTGGGTCCAAACAGTTTGCTCCAATCCAATGGTGAAGCACACAAGAGGCTTAGACGTTTGATAGCTGAGCCACTCTCCATTGATGGTTTGAAAAAATACTTCCATTTTATCAACAGTCAGGCAATCCAGACACTGAATCGATGGTCTGGTCGAAGAGTATTGGTCCTTGAAGAGGCTTCTTCGGTTGAGTATTGTAAACAAGCATTCGTTGTTATGTCGATTTTCGTTATAGAAATATTTGAATTGATTTCTTTATGGTTTGCAGTTCACTCTCAAAGTAATTGGCAACATGATAATGAGCCTTGAACCCAGTGGTGAAGAGCAGGAAAAGTTTAGATCTAATTTCAAACTCATTTCTTCTTCATTTTCTTCCTTGCCTTTCAAGATCCCAGGAACTGCTTTTTATAATGGTATCAAGGTAAAGTTTTGCTCTCTCATGATTATGTTGTCTGTGTTATTCGGGATTAAGGTGTCAGCATATGTGCATGCATCCATTAAGGTAAAGTTTCACTCCTTATCTATGTCCGGCTATGTGTCGGTCCTTCACAGTTGGGACCTTTAGGGAGAAAATGAAGTCTGTTATAGTAAGGCATGACTTGGAATACCATACTCCATGTTGAAGTCCTAATATGTGTCAAAGGTAGAGATTTTAGTGAAAAAATGAGGAGTTGAGTAATATAGCGTAACGAAAGATGAGCTTAGTAATACGTTTTCTGTTTTTCCAGGCCCGGGATAGTATGTATGCCATGCTAGACGCAATCATAGCAAAGAGGAGAAATGGGGATGTGATCCAACAAGATTTCCTGGAATCCCTAATAATTAAACATAGCAAGGGAGAAACTACAGTTGATGACGAAAATAAACTCACTGATCAACAGATGAAGGACAATATCTTGACTCTGCTCGTTGCTGGTCACGACACCACGACCGCAGCTCTTACATGGCTCATCAAGTTCCTTGGAGAAAACCCTGCAGTTTTGGAAGAGCTTAGAGTAAAACGTTTAATTGATCTTATTCGAGCTAAATTCTAATTTTCTTTCCGTTTATGACACTATAAAAACTCATCCGGGGTAAATTTGCAGGAGGAACACCTGCAGATTCAAGCAAATCGAAAGGACGGAACCGGCCTTACATGGTCTGAAGTTAATAACATGCCTTACACCAACAAAGTAAGCTTAAATACTAAAAACCAAACTATTTAAGGCTCACTGTGGATTAATACTTCTCATATATTAAATCCAGGTTCTTAGTGAAACTCTCAGAAGGGCCACAATTTTACCTTGGTATTCAAGGAAAGCTGCCCAGGACTTTGAGATTGATGGTATATTAGTATGGCTGTTCGAGATGTACATATATTTTCCGATCTTTTCTTGAGAAATGTAGATCGGAAATGACTTCTTTTACTTGATTTTCTAGGGTATAATATCGAGAAAGGTTGGTCGATTAACCTGGACGTCGTTTCGATCCACCATGATCCTGAAACTTTCCCTGACCCTGAAAAGTTTGATCCTTCCAGATTTAATGTAAGATATCAGCAGTGAAATTTTTTTGTTTTCCTCTGGGAGGCATGTACTTGAGTATATCTATATATTTCAATTGTAGGCAACTTTAAAGACTTTCAGTTATCTCGGATTTGGCAGCGGACCAAGAATGTGCCCTGGCATGAACCTGGCTAAACTCGAAATCTGCATCTTCATCCATCACCTGGTCTGCAGATACAAGTAAGATGATGCAGTGCTTAAACTATAAAACTCCAATAATTCAGTTTGTTAAATAAATTATAACAATGTATATAGGTGGAGAGCTCTTGAGAAAGATGATTCGGTGCAGGCAACGCTTGTTCGTATGCCGAAGAACAAGTATCCGGTTATGATCGAACCAATGTGAAGTTTCACATACCGAAATCAAGAATGAAAAGGAATAATGGAAAGCATGAGGAATAAAGCATATGATTGCATGAATTTATGTAAAGGAGATAAATCCCACACACAATAATACATATAGGATCAAAATGAGAAGAGAATAAAGATTTGTAACAAAACTATCATTCTGCTAAACTATTTAAAAAGTACAATTTGGTTCAGATACTTATATATGATATTGATATAACAAAGTTTTTTTTTTAATAGTTTAGAGTAATTATACATGGTTTGTGTTTATAATCTTTATTAAAAACTGAATATACAAATTCGTTTCTAAGATTTTAGTGGCCTAAGAACGAATTGAAAATTGAGCCTCTAATAATAAGCGCTAAGAAAACTTATTTTTAAAAGTAGACAAAGTAAATTAATTTATTTATAAAACATATTTTTATTATATTCATTAATTATCTAATAAATACATTAAATTTAATTAAAATATATTAAAAATTATTTTTCAACTTATAAGAGTAATTTCTAAAAATTATATTTTAATTTTATAATTATGGGCCCTGGTCCAGACCCAAATACAACACTGACAATGCATTTATCGTACAGACATAACTATTTAAACTCAAGATTTCAAGGGAGAACAACAATTTTTAAATTCATATATAGTACAATTTATTGGCAAATAAAAAAAATCTCATGCCAATGTTCTAGTTAAGGTGACACTCGTACGAATCAAATTATTTCAATGATTAAATGAATTATTGTTATCTCTAGAGGTTTTATGTTCGAGTATCAAAAACAGTAAGGATGATGAATTTTCATTGTCAAATCGTTGAAAATCTTTAGAACATATATTACCTTATAATTATATTTTAATTTTATAATTATGGGCCCTGGTCCAGACCCAAATACAACACTGACAATGCATTTATCGTACAGACATAACTATTTAAACTCAAGATTTCAAGGGAGAACAACACTTTTTAAATTCATATATAGTACAATTTATTGGCAAATAAAAAAAATCTCATGCCAATGTTCTAGTTAAGGTGACACTCGTACGAATCAAATTATTTCAATGATTAAATGAATTATTGTTATCTCTAGAGGTTTTATGTTCGAGTATCAAAAACAGTAAGGATGATGAATTTTCATTGTCAAATCGTTGAAAATCTTTAGAACATATATTACCTTATAATTACAATACTCAAAATTCATTCAAATGGATAAAAAGGGTTGTTATGTGCGTGGAGAAAAAGGGAGAAATGTTAGGGATTTCTATGGAGAAGCTAGGGATTGATTGTGGCAAATTTGGGGGAAATGAGATATTACCTGGAGCAGAGGACCGAGTGGTGATACCCATAGAGAAAGGGCTGGAACTGAAGCATAGTGGCCCAACAAGCAGTGATCCACCGTTCTGATATGTTGAAGAGGAACCAAACATGTGACCACAATTAGTTAGGAAATGCCAGCTGTACAGAATAAGTTGTTAGATTTTTTACTGAAGAATATAATGAGCAAATGTAATCGAGAGATCTATTCTGGCAATTTTAATGAAAATTCATCTTTTCTCTCAAATCTATATTCTCAAATTTCTCTAAATCCCTAATTCTTTTCTTGAATTCTATACGGTTCATAACAATTGGTAATCAGAGCTTAGCAACGATCCAACGTCAAGCTGGGTAAACAGAAGAAAATCCAACAGATGGGTGATAAAGTGGAATCAGCAGCCATAGCAAGCAGTAATGAGGAGACTAAGAATGAAGTTTGGGTTCCTAGAGGGTGGGAAGAATAAAAAGAAGAATGGGAAAACAGAATGAAGGTGCTAGAAAGCAGGCTGGATGAGACCCAAGGATATTTGCAGAAGATATTGAGTTGTGTGTCTAAAGTAAGTGAAGAACCTGAGCAGAATTCTCATGAAAAGGATGACCAGGTAATTGCTGCATCTTTACCAAAATCTGAAGGAAAAACACCTACGCAAGTGACAGTGATAAATGAGCATGAGAAATATTCCTTTTATCCGGAGGGTCCTGGAGTATTAGCTCCTAAACCAGAAGGTTACAAATCATCTACTTTCCAAACACAAAACCAGAAATTGAACTTAGGAGGGAATAATCATCAATCTGGAAGTACTTCACTCTCTAAAGATCCCTATTTGTATGAGAAAAGTGTACCAAATCAGTCCTTTACCCTAAGACTTAAGATATAATTATAGAGGTTTGATGGTGATAATCCAAGGAGTTGGGTCAAAAAATGCCAAAAGTATTTTACCATTTTTACAATTCCTGATGAACATAAAATGGAAATAGCAGCAATGTATCTGACAGGTAAGGCTGAAAATTGGTATGATGGGTATATTATGCAGAAAGGTCAAGTAAGTTGGCAGGAATTTATGGAGGATTTATGTAGCAGGTTCTGTGACAAGAACTACATTAATGTGATTGAAGAATTTAGTAAGCTTTTGTATAAATCTACAGTAGAGACTTATCAAGAGAAGTTTGGGGAGCTCAAGCCATTTATGCTACAACACAATTCTCATCTGGGAGAAGAATATTTTGTATCTATGTTTTTGAGTGGATTGAAGGAGGAAATTAAGCATAGAGTGAGGATGCATGAACCTAAAAGCCTGGATAAAGCTTATAGGAAGGCCAGATTGTGTGAATTGGCATTGAAAATTGAAGGGAAGAAGAAGATGTCAGTGCTCAAAGGTAATTATCAGGGAACACATTCTCAATCACAAAAGTTTGTAGGTACATCAAATATTCAGAAAATTCAGCTACCAATTTTCCAAGTAAACAGACTTTGATAGAGTATAGAAGAGAACATAATTTGTGTTTTAAGTGTGGAGAAAAATTTACTCCTGGTCATCAATGTAAACTTAAACAGCTTAATATGATGGAAGAGGAAGAAAATATAGAGGGAGATGAGGAAGGAGACATGGAGGAAGAAGCTGATGATAAGGGACAAGGAACTTTGGAGATTTCCATTAATGCTCTTACTGGCAGTGTGGGACATAATACTCTAAGACTTCAGGGAATTATTAAAGGAAAATCACTAAATATTTTGGTGGATAGTGGAAGCACACACAGTTTCATCACTCCTAGATGGGCAAAGGAAGGAGTGGAAGTGGAACAAACTCATCCTTTAGCTATTACAGTTGCTAATGGAGAGAAATTATTCAACAATGCTAAGAGTAACAAGCTGAGTTGGAAAATGAAAGGAAATGCATTTGAGTATGATTTTAGAGTTTTAAATATGGGGGGAAGTGATGGTGTTAGGAGTGCATTGGATGAGTCAATATAGTCCAATTCTTATGGATTAAAAAAAGATGACTATGGTTTTTAAAGTGGGAGAAAAGGAGATTAAATTGGAAGAAAAACAAACAGGTTCTTATATGAAATTGATTTCAGAGTCTAAGCTGAAACAAATTACTGTTAAAGAACCAGAAGTGATAGGAGAAGCCTATTTTATGAGTATGGAGGTAGTTGAATCCAAATTTCCAGAAGAATTACAAACCTTACTAGAGGACTATCAAGATGTTTTTGAAGAACCTAAGAAAATGCCCCTTGCTAGAAGTCATGATCATGCAGTGATTCTTAAGGAATGAACTCAACTAGTAAATCTTAGACCATACATATTTCCACACCTACAGAAGGCAGAAATTGAAAAACTGATTAAAGAGATGTTGTCTGATTCAATTATTCAAACCAGTAAAATTCCTTTTTCTTCCCCTTGTTTATTGGTAAAGAAGAAGGATGGAACATGGAGAATGTGTGTGGACTATAGACAATTAAATGCTGTGACAGTTAAGAACAAATTTCCAATTCCAGTAGTAGAAGACTTGTTGGATGAATTGGCAGGAGCTTCCTATTTTTCTAAAATAGATATGAGATCAGGATATTGGCAGATAAGAGTCAAAGAAGATGACATTCCCAAAACATCATTCAGGACACATCATGGACATTATGAGTTCAAGGTAATGCCCTTTGGTTTAATCAATGCACCTGCTACTTTTCAAGCACTAATGAATGACTTATTTAGTCCATATTTGAGGAAGTTTATGTTAGTATTTTTTGATGATATTTTGGTGTATAGTCCTAATCTCTATGATCATAAGCAACACTTGAAGGTGGTCTTGGAGATCTTGAGGAAAAATCAATTGTATGCAAAAAGAAGTAAGTGTTTCTTTGGACAGAACAAGGTGGCGTATTTGGGGTATGTAATAACAACAGATGAAATTTCTACTGATCCTACCAAGGTGGAGGCAATGCAAAAATGGCCAGTTCCAAAGAATCTCAAATCTTTGAGAGGCTTCCTAGGACTTACAGGATATTATAGGAAGTTTATTAAGGGATATGGAGAACTCAGTAAACCACTGACAAGTTTACTAAAAAAGGGAGTTTTTAATTGGAATAATGAAGCATAAGCAACTTTTAAGAAATTGAAGCAGTCTATATGTGAAACTCCTGTATTGGCTCTTCCAAATTTCAGTAAGACATTCTGTTTGGAGACTGATGCAAGTCAACAAGGAATTGGGGCTGTTTTGACACAGGAAGGCAGGCCATTAACTTATTTGAGTAAGGCTTTGGGACCAAGGCATATGAAACTGTCTATTTATGAGAAGGAATATATAGCCATACTCATGGATGTATCTAAATGGAGACACTACCTAGAAAATGGTCATTTTATAATCAAAACAGACCATGAACCTTTAAAACATTTACTGGAGCAGAAATTGACCAATACAATTCAGAAAAAAGGATTATCTAAGTTGCTGGGTTGGATTATGTTATACATTATAGGAAAGACAGATTGAATGTAGTGGCAGATGCTTTGTCAAGAAGATTTGAAGATGATAAGGAGGTCGTAAAGGTTGAAGAAATAGGAGAGTGTATGCAGATGACTACCACTATGCTGATTCCTGAGTGGGTAAAAGAAATTGAGGACAGCTATAAGGGAGATATCTTAGCTCATAAATTTATTACAGGCTTAACCATTAACTCTAATATAGAGTCTGATAGAAAGTTGGTTAAAGGAGTGCTAAGGTATAAGAACAAGGTTTACATTGGGGAACATGGAAATTTAAGGAAGAAAATCATGGAGTGTTTGCATGATTCCCC